CGGAAGTCTCTCCTTATGTTCCGCTTCAACCACCGTGATATTTAGAAGCTGTCTATATAAATTGAATAGTGTTTAATAAAAAATAATTTATATGTTAACAGGACGCAGATTAATTTACACTAAATAAATAATAACGGAAAATTGTAATGTGAAGATAATGCGTGATCAGAAAAAATGTGATGTGATGTGCAGTCAAATTTAGTTCAAAGGCAAGTTAAACAGTACTTACTTCTATAGCAAATTATAATGGATTGCGTTAATTGTAAATTCGATAATTTTTTTTAAAGGATACCTAATAAATCATCTTTTAATTATCTCCTTTACATGTGCTATAATTATACATTAATATCACAACAAATATATTCACTTTATGATGTCAAACAACCGTATTGTGCTACATTACCCGTATCAAGTAACACATTTTAAATTTGTGTCCTTATTATTGAAATCATAAACTTAAGGAAGATTTCTTAAGAAAACATGTTCTTATTATACAAAAATGTACAACCACTTTTACATGGTAAATTATTTTAATAATAATATATAGTAGATCAAACACGCTCTTAACGTTCTTACGAATTTCTAGCCTTTTGCCTAAGGCTAATATGACAGTCTTCAGACCAATAAAAATGCCAGTATGAAAACACTTAATTATTAACATCATAATATTGCTAAATATATATTGCTACATATAATATATACATCAGTCATTTGTTAAAGAATATTTCAGAAAAAAACGTGGCGAACGTTCGTGACTTTTTCAGATCTGTTTTTTTTTAAATACCTTCTTTAATATATAATGGATGTCCTTCAAATAAAATACCGTGAAAACATTTCCTTAGCTGTTGTTACCGTCTTTATATGAAACTCCTTCGATTTTGTGTAATCTCTTCCCAACTATTTATGTCGATGGAATGGTTCCAGCAACGTTCACGGATGAATCGACCTAATCAGTAAGGAAAACATAATGAAAATGACAAGAGCAATTTCACACAAAACGAATACATTCATTGAAGCTCTTTCTATTTATAGGCGCATGCTAGCAAACGAGAATGGTGATAACCAATTTTGTATTCACCTAAAATGATTATAATACCATTATTTAGGACCTTACAAACTTTAAATGAATGCTTATATGCAGTTTTCATTATGTTATATGTCTATATGTTACTCCAGCATACACCGTTTATTTCAAATAATCTGTTTGAAATGTATCAACCGAGATACTAACAAACAAAAATATCTGGCCGGAGTAAAAAGAGTGAACTTGCAAATGTTATTTCTAATATTTCGATACATATAGAAATATAAGCAATCCTTGCATAAAAATGACATAATAGTAATAAAAATGTAAAGATAAAAATTAAATTATAAGCATATTAATATTGATGACTCTTCAAGATACTTCGATTTTACAGTATGTCCATATCATAATTATGTTTTTACGTCTGACTTGATAAATTTTGCAATCATATGCAATATTGACTGTATTATTGTAGAATCACGTATCAAATAAAGCCAATAGAAATAAAAGGACAGTATATAGTATAAAATCAGCACACGTTTTATCTTGTATTTAATGCAAATAGCTATGATGAAAAGAAAATATGAAGCATTGTGAAAAATGTTAACCGGCTTTGGTTTCACAATAAAAAACAATTGTGATAACTAGAAATAGGCCTAAAAGTGGTTCATAATCCCGCCTATCACATTAATATGTAAAAGTTTGGGGGTCTGAAGCCAAATTTAAACGCCATTTTCAAATATAAGAATTAATTTTGTACTCATGAATTTGTTACATTTCATTTTTATAATCAACGTTAATTGCTCAAGTTTTTATACTGAATAGATTATAAAAATAATTATCTAAAACTTGAAGTTTTATAAAAACGAAAAATAAAAAATAGTTCATAAATGAGAATATTTTGTTGCTATAATAAATCCACTAATATGCATCACGTACAGAGGGGGAATACTGAAAAACACTGAAAATCCCGGGGAAAAAACGTAAGTTTTCTTTATGTAAAAGTATTTTTGTTACAATTGACAAAATAATCAATTGAGTAAATAATCTTGCAAAATGGAAATCTGTAAGATGTATGTGTTCCTAAATGAACCGGTCGTGTTTCGGTATGTGAACTACGTAGTCGGTAGGTAATTACATTTATGGACTCTTGAATAATATGTTAAATATATAAAAATTCTAAAGAATTTATCAGTAGAACACTCAATGATCATATAATATATTGGACACAAGGTGACGGTGCCTGATAAGTGTGGATATTTTTGTGTCTTGCATGAGTAAACTTAAAGGATCATGAATGTTAATGTTAGTCTCGTTATTTTGGACCAAATGTATAAATCAGTACATTATTTTGTAGAATAAACTCAGTAAATTCTTATGTAAAATAAGTTCATTGGAAAGTTTGATGTGATCTAACTGTCTTTATAATTTAATTTTAGAATGGCAAGAACTATACTTTACATTTTATTTTAGAATGGTCAATGATTTCAGTTTGTATCTTTAAAATGTCAAACGGAAATTATTCGTATATGTAAATTTTACAGGAAGTGAGATTGATTTTAGACGGCCTTCGAAGGCCGGGAAAATATCATAACATTAATCCAAGCTATTTTTAGAAGTTTCAGCCATGCACGTTGTCAAGTCGATTCGCCACCGTGTAAATGTTTTGCTTTGTGTTCGCTTAAGACTTAATTTATGATGTTAATTAACAATTGGATGTTTTTTCTTTAGATAGTGTCAATTAATTAATAAATATCTTTCAGTCATACGTGCACACGTACAGCCATTTGACTTTTATTATATCATTTTAATGTTTTGCGAAAAATTTGTTTGTAATAAACAACTAACCATAAATGGCAACTAACCGTTGCTTTACCGTGAACTATTTTGATGAACTTTACCTAAGTCTGGCGGAAATTAAGTAATTCTGTTTCAAAATGTGTTGCTTTTTGTTTAGGATCTTATGATTAATGTAATATTGAGCTTTACATACATTGGTTGATTTTTCGTTAATAATATGCATAAACAAAATGCTGTAAACTTTGTTTGTACTTCTGTAATGATTTCCTTCCAAGAAAAAGCTAGAAAATATTAGGAAAAATTTACGTAACTTTAAATTGCAATTAATATACAAATTTCTGTGTGTTTGACAATCAACTAGTGACACATATTCTATCACTCTACCTTAACAGGCCAATGTAAGACAATATAGGAATAAAATAAGTGTAACTGACATGATTTACGTGAATTGATTTCTCGTTCTTGTCATACCAGTAAATATTTGAAAAGTTATATTATTTTCTTCCAAAAAAACGTTTTTTATTCAAAAGGATAATACCATTTTTATGCCGATCTTAAAAGTGAAAGTGTTTTCCTTATATTTACCCGTAGGCTTTTATTCTTAACATCAATAAATTTAAAGCAAACACAATTACAAAAGAGGAATATAATAATTTTATTGTTAGTTATTTTCTTCTTTTTCAAGATGTTTTGTTTGTTTGATCTGAAGGCACACTGCTTTAATTGTAAAAGGGGAACAAAATGTTTATCTTTTTCTCAAAATTTCTAGAGTTTCTGATTATGAAAATTTGTAATACAATCAAATATATTGGTTTTGCTTAATACTTTTTAACTATATGTTTTCAAAATAGGTATTAAAACACACAAACATGCGCGCGCGCGCGCGCACACGCAGAAACACACACACACGCGCGCGCGCACACACCCACACACACACACACAGACACACACACACACACAAATTAAAATCAGGTGACGCTCCTTACAAAGGTTTTGGACACAGAAATGTATAATTCTTGTAGTTTCAGAGTTATGCTCCGGACACAATTCAAAGTGCAATAATTCCAAAATTGGGTAATAAAGAGCAACTGTTCTTTACACTGCACTTTTCCTCAATGAGATCTCTCTACATTCAAATATTCATGTTGATACCTCCTGTTGTTTAAGAGTTATGTCCAGGACAAGAAAAAGGGGACGGGCAGACGGACGGACAAAGCAGTAACTATATACTCACCATTCGCGGAGCATTAGAAAAACATTTTATTACTTTTTTGTAATATACTGTATGCAGTTTGGAGCTAAAATATCAAATTGAATTAAATTGAAAAATATATGCTTGATATCTAATGTCACACACGGAAATCCGTATTCATAAAACCAATTTAAGGAAAGTATAGGCCATTGAATTCTTAAAATGTATATTCTTATAATTGGTTTTAAGTGGTTTAATTTCCGTAGCATTCAAAAGAGGAAGGATAATATACTTGACTGTGACTTCATTTTAGACTACATGTATTTCAAACATATTTTAAACATAACCTGTATCATATTTAAGTTCAATTAACAATGATGAAAGACTTGATTTTTTATATCGAAAGAAGCGGGCACGTGATATATTTTATAGATATGTTAAATCGTCCTCAACATTGTATTCTATAAATTTTATTTTAAAGATCTATCATTCCGAACTGTAAAAGAAATTTCTTATTTACCGTTGTTACTAAACTTATAATACTGAACAAAGAGGTACGAAAACGTTAATGTTTCTTAAATGTCTTTTTGTAGAATATTTTGTATATCTTGACCAACATTTCATATCAAAGTTAGTGTAAAGAAATGTTAAGAGTTAAGTTTTGTATAATAAGCAAGAAAACTTTTCTCTATGTCTGAAATTGTGGATTATCAAGATTAGTTCATGGTCGGCATGATCAAGATAGTTACAGGTTTTTAAGATCATTCCTTTAAAGACTGATGGGTCCTTGCATTTCAATCGAGGGTCATCAACATTTGGTGTCGACAACACTTGGCCTCAGTCAAGTTGGTTTTCTTTGGTAGATTTGTTTGCTTGTTTGATTGGGTTTTACGTCACATCGACACAATATAAATCATTTGGCGACGTTCCAGCTTTACTGGTTGAGGAATACCTCAGGTGCCCTTTGTTCATTATTTCAGGCACGAACGGGCATCTGAGTAGAAGCACCGACGTTCCGTACGCTAGCTGGATGGCTTCATCACATGAAAGAGTCCCTGTCGGAATTCGAACCAACAGCGGTGAGGGGCAGGAGGTTTGAAATCAACGACCTTAACCATTCGGCCACGGACGCCCCTATTCTTTTGAAGATAAGGTAAACAAAAAAAATTAAATCCGTCCTTGAAGGGCTACAATTTGTTTCACATATAGTACTTGAGAGATGTTCATGTATTGAAGTTTTTGTCTTGCTACAACTTTAAGCACATATGAAAACATTAAAAACTTCACGTGCTTATTAGAATTTATGCATTCATCCTTAATAGCTTTTCATCGTCCTTGCAAATTGTGCCCATTCGGGTTTGCCCGTGGACTTTTACTGATATGTATTTACATAAAACATATTCTTTTGTATTGATATAATGACAAAACCACGGATTTTTATCGGCAGTCAATACTATTTTGTTTGCACGTTTTGTGATGATAAAGCATATGCCATGTCACGACAAAACCAACATAATGGGTTTGCGACCGGCATGGATCCAGAACAGCCTGCGCATCCGCACAGTCTGATCAGGATCCATGCTGTTCGTTTACCAACCCTATTACAGGTAGAGAAACTGATAGCGAACAGCATGGATCCTGATCAGACTCCGTATAGATAATTAACAACTTATGTTGCAGTTTCCTGTAGTTGATCGATTAGATGAAAAAATGGTCCAATTTCCTTTAAAGAGATTCAGTACATTACAAAATACAGTTTTGCTATAGAATTTAGCCCGGGATCAAATACTCACTACAGGGAATGTGTAACAGTATCGCGCTTTCCGGAAACAATATATAATTTTCAAGATTGAGAATTATTTTCGGAAAGACAGGTAGGTGATGTTTCTCGGTTTATACTACAAGGTGTTTAGTTTCTTAAATATTTTTAAGAATTGGATCTGGCATCTTGTCATATATTTCATCAGACACTGCACCGCAGAATCATCTTTGTATTGGCTCATAAATGTGCAGATTTGACAGTTCGAAAATTCGAATCGAGAGACCAACACATTTTGTGTCCCATTCTGACCCTTAAAAAATTAAACCTCCAAAATTTTAGTCTTTTGTGTTCAGAATCGTTAATAAATATAAATGACCAGTTGAACTCGTTTTCCTATCCGTCAAACGCGTTTTAAAACAAAAACATTGTTACAGTATAGAGCGATGTGAATTTCGCAGAGTTACAGTATAGACCACGCGGATTTCTGCCGATTATGTTACAGTTTATACCCGGAACCGGTCACACTTTAGACCTCTATATTTACAAAACCGTTGCTTCTGTAGATGCTAGGTAAAATGTATGAATGAAACATAGATCTTCTAATCTTAATCTAAAATCTCAACTCAACTTGTGACATATGCTCAGCAACTACTAGTACTTGACAAAATTTGATGAAATCTGAATGAATGTCTACCAGTTCAAATGGTTGTGGTCCACTGCAATCTTAGATACAAAAACCAAACAAAAAGAGATTTTAAAATGGCAATATTTGAGAATCTGTTCTACCGAAACAAAATGCATTCGCTATGTAGCATTGTAAAGAATTCCGTCACTTATTTTCTTCAAACGATTGCGTCATTTAGGATTCTTATTTGTTAAAGGAAAATCATGTATGTCTTTATAAAATCAAACTTCATTTTATTCTATTTTAGACATCCTATATCGGAGTTTTTTTTTTCAAGTATAAATTAAATCTGACAATTCCAATATTTTTTCCAAAAAGCTACACCACAGTGGCCGAGTCGGGATAAGGTCGACAATTTAATACCATTATTTTATGTCAATCGGTTGCATAAAGCGATTCACCTGTGTGTGTGTGTGTGTGTGTGTGTTCATGCGTGTGTGCGTGTGTGTGACGGTACGCTCGTGTGTTTATTTGAAAATTCAAGGATTGTTTTTAGTGTTTTGTCATTTAGTTTATGTGCAGCTAGTATTTGTGTCCCATGTATTACTTCAACATGCATGACGGGATTTCGACTGACCAAATGATAAGCATATGAAGGCAATGTATTGTGTATAAGTTGCATATCCGGACCTTTAGAGTCAAATTTGTACTTACTTGGAGGTCAAATGTAAAACCCTGTCGGGCTTATAACAGATGGATTGTTGAACTTTTGAATATGTCTTCACTCCTGTCAGGCTATGTGCTGCATGCAAGAACAGTGTCCGCATCTTTAATGTGAAGGTCGTTGAAGGAGATCAAAGTTCAAATCCATTTCGCCTAATTGTGTCCTTATTTCCAAAATGACTCGGTGACATTTACGACAAGGATATAAGCTCAGGTTTATTGAATATTCGAATAAAGGCAACGATAAGAAATTGCACGGTGTTTTCAATGGGCTACATTAGTTAAAAAAGACTGAAATATTCTGATTTTCAACCTGGATCGAAAACCCAACGCATTTTTTTGGGTAACCCGTCGTATAAATTACATACAAAATAATAAAGAATGATATTCCCACTTATCAAATACAAGATATATCAAGCTTTATAAATATGTGCAACTTAACACATCAATGATCACGTAGCGACTGCATCAATAGATACACGTGTCATCGGTGGTTCAATGACGGGTGATAGTAAAGTTGATAACAGAAAATAAGATTATGAAGTTCTAGTAATATTGATTGTAATTGATAAAATGGGTTGTAAATTAAAAGATACAAATGAAATTTCAGTTTATTTATTATTTCAAACGATCATGTTACAGGCTCCCGAATTACAAAGATATTATAACTTTTTTTTAAATTACTTGGCACATGTGATCACCATGATGAGACGATGTGCAGAGCACAATAAGTGGGCTGCTAACCCTAATGTCAAGGTCACACTTAAAGGTCAAGTATTGAAAAGTCTACATTTTATGTTCGCTCCATAACGTTTTAACCGCTGCAATGTTTTTAAGATAACTGGGCAGAAATAATGTAGCTCTGTTTGTGGCTAATAATTTTGATCACAAAAATAAACTCTACAAACTACAAAACTTTATCTGATGTGATTTTTATTAATATTCTTCACTATTCTTCACTTCAAGATAATCCTAGGAATTATGAAACTATGAGACACAACTTGATACATTTGTCAATGGTTACCCTAAAAGTCTCTAAAATCTCTTTTGAGTGTATATAGACCTTTTTACAATACAATATGTCAATAGAAACGAAACATTAATTTTCTTTCGCTAAAGTCAATTTTACGAGACTGTCAAATTAAATAAATTCAAACCTTTCTGGGTTGATCACATATTCCCGTTTTTAAAGCACTCTTAAGCTTTTATTTTCTGTTGGAATAACAACGCTTTTTCAAACTAAGTATTTCAGTAATTTAATTTTTGAAAAAGTGAATCATATCACTGTTAACAAAAATGGAAATATGTGATAAGCGAAAGAAAATTAATATGCAGACTATCAGCCCTTTTGAAATGTCATTGTTTTATGATAATTGGAATGCATATCAAGTTTGGAGTTTTCTCAGTAACCGAGAAAAGACCTTTACAAAAGGGTTAACCAACGCTGACAAGAAGGTCATGACAATTGATTCACTTTCTTTTTCGAAATGTGGAGCTGAAAATGGAAAGCCTATAGAACGTGAGCCTGCAACATTTTAAATTGTGTTGTTTAGGCCATTCTTAACGTGATCCTATTATTTCTACTTGATTGAGTCTGTTCATTTGGCTTGTTTCTCGCTACTTTGTCTTCCATAATAAATTGTTGTCAGACACTACTATTTACATTGGGTCTTCATTGTGCATGAACATGCATTAAAACCATAATCAAAAATAAAAGAAAACATTTGAATTGAGTACATTGTTTTTCATTTACAAACAAGTGGATACATTTTTCACAAAAATAGTGTTAATCATTTTATGATTAGGATCTTTTAAAAGTTAACTGTACAAAGTCAATCAGTTACAGGTTATTTAAAGATTTGAAATGTTTTACCCCATCCACTTAGACATGTGTTATTCTTACAAATGACACTCAACAAAATGTTTTGTAGAATAAGTTGTTAGTCTACCATGTTTGTTTCCTGTTCATATAAAAATAAACACGTGTATTTGTGTATGTACAAAAGAAGAGAAAAGAAAACAATAGAAATATACATCTGAACATTTGTTACAAAATAAACACTTTTCAATGGCACATTTATTATGTTATTTTTTCATTTCTATAAGGTAAGTGATAGGAAAGAAATTTTTTCAACAAAAGTAATAAGAAACAAAATGTACATGACAATTGAATCTGCAAAAAGCATTTGTACACTTTTTCGTCAAAATTTTCGGTTTTTGTCACTTAGTATTTTAACATTATGGAAAACATATAAATACTGAAAAAAGAACAAATGTGGCAGTTTTAATTGCTAAAAAATTAAAATTGAAATAAAAGATGGTATTTCATGTTTTTATAAAAAAATAAATATGAGAAAAGATCCGTTTTCAATTTTCCGAAATAAAAAAGTAAAATCATAAATATTCTGGAAATCAGGCAATGGATATGATAAAATCATGAATAATTATTTTGTTGGGAAAATTTACTACACATCACCTAATTTTCAACGGCTAAAAGTATACAAAAACAAAAAAAGAAAACTCACCTACTTAGCTTGGTACAGAAGGAGTGAATGCTATAGATAACGAGATCTTGTGCCTGCTTCACGTTCCTCATTGCACTTTAAAACATTGTGATTAAATTAATTAGTACTTAGGTTGATTCATATGTATATGAAATACGAATCTTTATCCATTTATTTGTAAGGAATACCGTACAGTCGTGCACTAAGTGAAATTGTATTTGAATATTTTTTTATTGATAAACATGTATTTATGGTACGGATAAGGCCTTCTGACTTATAAAAAAATCTCTGAAGGAATTGTAAAAAAAGCAAGTATAACATGAAAATTTGGTAGAACTTTAGATAAGGTAAAGAAAGATATTTCATTTTATTTACACTATATTTTCCCATAGAATGTGTTCATAACTGATTGTTGTTGAATATTACTTGATATGTGATTTAACTTGACTTTAATTTTACAGAGTCTGACGATTCAGTCTTTCTGAAATTGTTATGCATGCAGATATGACAGATTAACATTACCTACCCTTAATATGACAAACTTTACAATATATGTGTAAACATTTTACAGTCTTGATACCCAAGACGATGTTCTTGAAGGCCAAGGACATTTATAGGGCAAAGTAATACTTCAGTAATTTAACCAACAATGATATGAAAATTCAATAAACTTGCATTGACTTCCAATCTCAAAGGTCAATATAAGTCAAGATAATTCTTGAGTTCACTTGATGGTTTTATCTTAAGAAGTAGTTATTCTCAATTTGAATAAAATCAGACTATTATTAACAAAATTATAGCAAATTCCACCAAATTCAGCCAGATTCAATCATTTGACCTATACTTTTAAGGTCAATTTAAAGTCAATGGAGTCACTGAATTGCTCACCATGATAAGTGTGTGTGTGTGTTTTAAATTGATCAAGCATCAATCAATTCCTTCCGTAAATTAAAAAAAAGTATGGCTACTATATGGAACACAAAATACATTTAAAGTGAAAAAAGCATGTAAAGGTCGATCTTAAGTTTAGTTTGACCTACTTAAAAGTGCTCTCCAAAATGTATTGTTGCGCACAAATGTATACAGAAAAGCTAGATGTAACATACTTATGGCCATTTATAAAATATACAATAAATTGACATTACTTGACGAGATCATGTCAAGGACACGGCCAAACTTGGGTTGTTCAACATGACAGTCTTATACTAAGGGTTGTTCTTTTTACGTATCAATCAAATTCATCCATTGATTCCAAAAGTATGGCTAACTTTTATAAAAAATAAAGATCTACTATGCTCATCCTTGAGAACAATATTTTAATCACAGAAATTTATTGAAATATATGACATTCGTATTGAATATATCTAATTTGAATTAAAGAATGAATAAAATATGTATGAGAAGCTGCGTTCCCAATTACCCAATTACAGGTCATTTAAACTTGGTCTTTTCTTGAAAACTATATATTCATATTGTGACCGCCGATAGTGTGTTGGATTTAAAACATATCATATCTACTTTGTGTGAAGTCTAAACATGTTTATTTTATATTTACAAAGAGACTGTGTAGCAATTATCAATATTTTTTATATCAAATTTGAGCATAGTATATCATTAACAATTCGACCTTAAAGAAGAAGGTAATTAAAAGATCAAGGTTAAACTTTTGTTGTACAATATGACTCTTGTAATGCATAGTGTTGATTTGTTTAAGGATGAATTAAAATCAATCTAAGAAACACTCACTTATGCCAAATATTTTGGCAAAATTGTATTACTTGAACTGTAAGGTCAAGGTTAAGTTCAGCTTGACCTACTTAAAGGGATTGTTTAAAGGGTTGTTGTGTCCTAGCATGAATATAATGTCTATATTCATAACAAGCTTATAGCCAATCATAATAGTATTTATTAATTAAGATAATGTGTCAAGAAAGCCAGTTTGTATTAAAAGATTTATCAACATCCCCTGGATGGGCTTTATTTGAAAGATGAATTTCACATTCGTATGTTATAGTATAGTGAAGTATTTTCTTAAACGATATTTACAATAATTTTTAGCTTTTATTAAGAATTTTAAAGTAATTGGATTGTCCTTCGGCTTGTAATTCAAACACACATTCATTTAACAGTAGTCACCACTTAGAGCCAGAAATGTAATTTAGAAGATATTTCATCTTATTTTCCTTGTTATTTGCGAGAACAGTTTATACAGTATAACCATGTTCATACATCTAGGATCTTTATTGTAGGGTACCTTCTCTGCAACTTCCAACATTGGTTTTAAACACGTTATTTTATACTCTGTCAATATGTTAACTCATTACGCAGATTTTGACAACACAAAAATGTCTGATAGTATACATTTTTTGTCGACATGCATTTTGATGAAATTCATGAAATAATAAATATGAGTGATACTTTTATCAAGCGGCACTCAAAATTTTTCATTAAATGACTCAATTATCGCGTAGGACAAGGCAAATATTAACTCTGAAATGTCGAACACAGCCATTTTGTGGTACTCAACACCTTCTTTGTGAAGGGTAAAAGTAGCGAGAAAAACTTTTGTTTTCAAACTTCGACATGTGCTGAAATCACTTTCACTTTTATTATAAAGCTTGCACAATGTTTCTACATATTCAATTATAAAGTACATGGTATAATGCCAGGAACGTCATTTCGCAAAAAAAGATCGGATGTTATCAAGATTTGTTGGGCTGCATTGTTGCATGTGATACATGCATTACGTGTAGAAAAGTATATTAAAATGTTTTAAATTTTTTTGTTGCGGTTACTGTTATCTTAAAATATTTATGATTGTTTCTATCTTCAGGGTGTAGCTCTATATTTGACAATCACATATCATCCTGATCAGAAAAATGGAAATTAAAACAAATGAGATGAAACCAGCGGTAATATTTATCGAATTCATATATCTTATTTATCATATTCCTTTCTAAATTACGCATTATATATTGTCGCAAAGATAATTGTTATTACTTACGTATCTATACCTTATTGTTATGCTTGTTTTGCTTATTTAAAATTGTCTTGGAATTTTTATGTCATAAAGTGGACAAAATAGCATCAAATGAAATATCAAACAGAATTTTGAAATTTATTTATAAGAAATGAAACCTTTAACATTATTCTTATTAATGTTACAGAAGAGCTGTGATGTGACAAGAGGGCATGAACACTACCTCAGTCATATATTGTTATTGGAACAAGCTTCGCCCATCGCATTGAAGGCCATTATAAAAAGAGAAGAAAACAAATGTGGAAAAGATATTGGTATTTTGCTAAATGAGAATAGAGATACGTTTAAAACCCAGTACGAAACAGAGTTTCTTCAATTATTTCAAGGAGATGTTGTCAATGACGACATTGATACGTGGGACACTCTTCAATTGTGTGCTGTAACATTAGCTTTGTTTAAATCTGATCTAACTGAACCAGAAGTTAAAGCCATTCAATGTATATATGATCACAGAAAAGATATTGAACATTACGTAGAACGTGCCTCCCTAACATACAATACCTACAAGGAGAAACAACATTTATTGCACGAACAATTACTCGAGTTGATAACGCTCATAGACGACCAAGCTAATCTTGATTGTAAACGTATGGTGTTTTCATTTGAATCAAAATCAATGCAATTTAGCGAACCACAAATAGACAAACTTACACGGACAAATGATATTAAAACTCATCTTAAAATTGCAATCGATGTAGTTGTAGTAACAGAGAATGATATTACTGGCGAAGAGAACGATCTAGATCTTCAGACAACTGGTATGTATTTGTGTTATATTAGTATGAATTTAATTTTATTCATATGGTTGTTTTATATCCACATACATCACGTTATGCAAAAATTTGTCTGCCAGAGTTTTTAATAAGTGTTTATGTTAGGCTATATCAATATAATTGTTTGAGATACGCCAAGATTGAATATCAAGTAATGTGACCATGCTTGCTTTTATAGTCTAGATTTATATTCGGCATGAGTCAAACTGAGATAATACATGAACAATAAAATGATAAAATTTATCTTTGAAGAAATTTAACAGTTCTCTGATGTTAATAAATTCAGTGCAAGTGAACACTAATGTTTGCCTGTCTGAACTAAAACCAGTGATAGATAGATAGATAGATAGATAGATAGATAGATAGATAGATAGATAGATATATAGATAGATAGATAGATAGATAGATAGATAGATAGATAGATAGATAGATAGATAGATAGATAGATAGATAGATAGATAGATAGATAGATAGATAGATGAGATAGATAGATAGATAGATAGATAGATAGATAGATAGATAGATAGATAGATAGATAGATAGATAGATAGATAGATAGATAGATAGATAGATAGATAGATAGATAGATAGATAGATAGATAGATAGATAGATAGATAGATAGATAGATAGATAGATAGATAGATAGATAGATAGATAGATAGATAGATAGATAGATAGATAGATAGATAGATAGATAGATAGATAGATAGATAGATAGATAGATAGATAGATAGATAGATAGATAGATAGATAGATAGATAGATAGATAGATAGATAGATAGATAGATAGATAGATAGATAGATAGATAGATAGATAGATAGATAGATAGATAGATAGATAGATAGATAGATAGATAGATAGATAGATAGATAGATAGATAGATAGATAGATAGATAGATAGATAGATAGATAGATAGATAGATAGATAGATAGATAGATAGATAGATAGATAGATATCGTATAAAATAACTTGATATAGCTGAATTATAATCTTATTAACAAAATACAAGAAACTTCAGGACAAATGTTCACTGAAGAACTTCAGAACACAAATGTGTACATCAATGATTCAGCTATTTTGGCATGTAAACTCAGCATTCCAACAGATGAAAATGTTGAGTGGAGGAAAAATAGCAAGCCGGTAAAAGTTTCAAACAATTTAGTGGTCGTGAGCAACAACGAAAATCACTGGTTAGCGATTTTTCGTGCATCATTGGAAGATACGGGTCAATATACTTGTGTATGCGGCAATATTTCAACATCAGCTGATCTTATTGTTGTAGGTATGCTTAATCGAATTATAACAACAAAACATTTGTTCTTGTCCAATGCAAAGAAACATAAAAAGATACAATCCTACCTTGGCAAATTCAATGGCATTTATAATTTATGTATATAAATATCAAAACTTTCTATACAATTAGTAAAACAAGTATATGAAAATTATAATCATCACGCAAAGATATTGGATAACACTTTAATTTTATTTTCATTGACAATCTAACCATTTTATAGTTTGAACTAAGACAGTAACATTCGGAACAGGTATAATCAAAATGACAATTGATTAAGTGACATGTAAATGTATGAAATTCACAGGGGCGATTATTTGAAACAGTCTAAGCCATAATCAAATAATAGTTGTTACTTTGGTAACAAGGATTATAAATCGTAGATATCCGCGCAATAACGAAAACGTTTGTGCTAGTTAAACTTTGTTATTTAAACATTTGTTTTGGGTGTCTATGAGTAAATCATTGCGAAAGGAAAAGCTTTTGCCTTTTACAATATAAATGCCCGTGTATTTTTCATATATGTGCTTCTTAAGATTTTATATCAAATGATCAAAGCAATAATAAATTAAGTATGATTCGTTCAAGTATCAAAATTTTATTAAATTGTAACAGATGAAGCATTGGGTGTGGTCATTGATTTGCCTGTCAAAATTGAGGCTATTGAGAATGGAAACATTAATATTACGTGGAAGGTGAACCGGCTAACGAGAAAACCAGATTGGCGTCACAAAGGGGAACTTCTACAATCATCTGGTAGAAAGGTTATACTATCCAAGGGTACTACACACGAATTGATGATCACAAATGTATCATTACACGACGAGGGTGAATATACAGTTAACTTTGAGAATGTATCATCTAAAACAACAGTTCAAGTACAAGGTTAATATTTTTGAAGTGATCTTTGTTTTAGTTATACTGACACTTTAATTAGCTTGTTTATGTAAGTCGTAAATTTTATTCATTTGGTTTAGGTCAAGGTAGTGAATTAAAAGAAGCAAAACAATGTAATTCATTTCATACCAAATTGTCAAATACCAGAGCATCGTCTGTGTAATTTTCTTTAATTTATTTTAGGGGAAACTGATCTTATTCACAGAAAACAAATACAAGAAAAATTGTACAGAAATTGGGTGAGAGGAGCTCTGGCGTTAAAATATTTGAAAATAGGCTTAGAGGGATTTTCTGACAAGGCTGTTATCGAACAGCATAGGGATCTTATGAAAACATTTGGAAACACCTGCAACACTTGTACAATGGAAAGTCTTTTCCCACATAAAAAAAATCTATGCCCACGCCAAAGAAAATATCAATGTTTATGTACCAAGAATCACAACAAATCAAGACAAATGTGTCCAAATGGGGGATTTTGTGGCAACTTTTATGATGAAATAGTATGTAAACATCGATTTCAAAATCCATTATTCATGAACACGGATGTCCAAAATTGGAGCAGTGATCCTTGGAGTGTTGCTACATGCTTTATAAATACTACTGGCTACAAAGGCAAACAATCAGCTAAAGACGTCGACTGCTCGGGTTTACTGAGTATGTGCATAAACAACATTTATATAGAAAATATGCTTGGAAAAGATATAATCGATGGAGAAAAGGATGCTTTTACAAAGGTAAATATCTTCTCCACAGTATGCGTAATCACCTATTAATATGTACATTTCAATAATTAGAACAAATTGTACTTATATGATATCTAACTTTCATAGCCTTTTCAAATTTGCTTTATAAAAAATTCAGGAAAAGTACTGTAGAGACAAGTTAAAATATGTCTTTAAATAATGTGTTACTTTTGAAGGCACGGAAATCACGGAATGATATCCTTCACAATCCAAACTATGAATTATCTGAAAACGAACTAAACATATTTATCAAAGGGTTCAAAGAAGTATTAGAAATCAAGGACAAACATGGCAATACACCTCTGAAAGGGGAGCCAAGCGTTGAAAATGCATTATATTTACTGGATAAGGTAATTAGGTTATACAATTAATGAAGTATATCTAAGGACAGTATAAGCCGAATTGGGGCACATTTTTGTTGATTACTTCTTTTCAGTAAGTGATTTTAATATCTTTGAAATGTTGCAATTGAATACTTTAAATATAGTACTTTGATTAAATATTAAGCTTGATCATTTTCCTATACGAGGGCTGTCCGGAAAGTTCGTAGACAAGGCTATAAAATTATTATTAACAGTCATATCAATATGATGATTGAATATATTGCTAAAGTATTTATCTGCTACATATTTCTAAATTAAAAAACATGATAAAAGAAATATTCGTAAAGCGCCGATCACCATGGCAACATGATCAACGAATCACGGAGCACTTTGATTTCATGACGATAGCTACTCGAATAATATGTTGCTGAAAGTTGTAATTTTAACGCCAACTCTCGTTTTAATTTTGTGACATCATGAGATACTATTATATGTTATTTAGTGAAAATTATGATGTCATACGCAAATAAATAGCTTGTTAACGACTGTTATAGGCAATGAAGGTGCATAAATTTTGTGTTGCAAAAATGACGTCAAATTCACGGACGGAGCAACGTAAAGATATTTAACTTCATAGCAACGCTTATATGACACGAACTGAGATTTTAATCTTTACTGTAAAAACAAAATCAACCATAAAATGTTTAAGGCAACTTGTGTTAAAATGTCAAACAAGATTAAGAAGCGGCGATGACAGTATATCGTATAAGAAACGCTACAGACAACCAAAGGAAGCATGTGCAAAATATCGTATATTGCGTTACAACAACCTTTGAAAAAGATTGACATGTCACACACTGTATGAGAACCAGTGACATTTTTGTTTTTAAATAATAATTTTAAATATGGAATTCATAAAGTAAAAGCAACATAACATGTATTAAGTATACGCCAGACAGGTACAATGGCTGTTGAAATCGGAAGAAACTGAATAGCGGGTAAACATGAAGTTAATTTGACGCCGTTGACGTTGTCAAAGTGCTCCATGATGAGGTATATATGTTGTATGTAATTACTGTTAAAATAAAAATGTAAGTCACAGTTCAGTAATTTTTGATAAATGTGTTCGCTAGATATGTATATTTTTGCTGACAAAATTTGTACAACATATGTATTGGTATACAATAAAAAATGAAGGAGTATATGAACTTTCCGGACATCCCTCGTATATATATACTCATTACAGGTATCTTACCTTAAACTTTATCATAATTTGAATATGCTATAAATGGTTGTGTTTTCTTCTAGACGTATCAATTAAGTAAACATTGAATGCAGATGTATTTATAATATTTGTTACACCATATCCTTTGGCAGTTTTCTTATACTTACGGTTTTGTAACAGATTATTTGTTGATATATTGTTACTGCACATTTGTTTGTCTATAATAGTAAGTTCATTGAATTGTTTATTTTGACTTTTAATGAACTCCAGAGAGATCACAAAGCCTTAATTTATAAAATGTAAAATGACAACTTGGACACTTTAAATAGAAACTATGCAATTAAATATACAGAAAAAATATACTAATTATTTAATTCAAAAAAGGTATTTGTCTACTGTTGTTAGCCCGTTTAAACGATTTTTATTTGTAGATCATTGTTAACAACTAAAATTAATAACTATGAAAATACAAGTAATTACCTAAGATCTAAACTAAAAGATTTATTAATCTCGAAAACACATTTCCTGTTCCATCATGTGCAAAAAAACTTAGTTGAGTCCCTTTTTCCGTTCTTACATTTTATTAAGCGCAAACGTGATCACATGACTGCTTGGCTATTTACACAAATGAGTTTGTTCAGTATTATTCTACCTGATTATAATCAGATGAGCGTCAGTTTCTCAAGATACAACAATTATAATTGACATGAAATTATAGCATAACACCAAAATACATCAACAACGAAATTGCAACATTACAAGATATAAAAAAACATCAGAACAGTAAATACATTCGGCAGATTATTGTACATTTTTGACCTTGTAAATCTTAAGTTTATCAAGGAATTCCCCTGCATTTCTTCCTAAACTTTCAAAATATACTAAAGGTCCTTCCATGGTTTTTAAAACAATTTGGTCAAATATACATTCTGTCAGTTTTATATTGACATGAAAAGGACGAAATACATTAAATGTGTTTTACGGACTGTAATACTGTAAATCTGTAACAGTTGCAGCAAAACCAGATTGAGATAAACCTTGAACATGAAATAAAGCAACTGAGAGAACATGGTATGCTTACATTAGATGAGAAATACAAAACAGCAAAAGAACAGGCAAGTTGTATAGATAATGCATTTTAGTATTATAATATCAAACTTTTACGACAGTGATATAATACTTAAGACAGTGTTTGAAAACTGGATAATAAAGTCAAAAGATGTTGGAAAATATATTACGATTCTAAAGGTGCTAACCTGTCTATTTACCTATACGTACCATTATTGATAACGATATGATAAACTTGTCATTTTTGTGTCCCTACTGTAGGGGGGCATTTAGATTCACCCTTGTTCGTCCGTCCGAGCAAACATTTGATATTTATGAGCTTCATTCCGTAGTTAAATAAAGAGCAAAAACTCATAAAATTCAAATTAAGAGCTATTTTTTTGTTTTTATGAGCTAATTTTGCTTATGGACGTTGGTCCAGGTGGTTTTTATGAGATGATTTGCCTCATAAACATCAAAAGTTGGTACGTCCGTCCATTCGTCCGTCCGTCCGTTCGTTCTCATTTTGCATCACACGTAACTCAAAAAGTATTTGACCTAGAGTCATTAAACTTCACAGAAATGTTAATCATCGTGTGAAGTTGTGCCCCTGGGGTTTCGCTTATGGATTTATTCTCTTTTGTCAAAGAAGTTGCCCTTGACTTAGGAAACATTTTTACACTTTTCATTTTGTGTAGCACTAACTCAAAAGTATTTGAAACTTTACAGGAATGTTAATCAGAATATAAGTTGTGCACCTGTGTATTTGTGTGTGAATATATTTAATATTTTTAAAGTTATTGCCCTTGATTTAGTAAAAATTTACAATTTTCAAATTCTGTCACATGTAACTCAAAACGTATTTGACTTAGATTTATGAAACTTTACAGGAGTGTTAATCAGCATGTGAAGATGTGCACCTTGGGTATTGCTTGTGGGCTTATTCTGTTTTTTCAGAGTTATTGCCCTTGACTTAATAAAAATTTGCAATTTTCAGATTGTATCGCACGTAGCTCAAAAAGTATATGACCTAGGGTCATTAAACTTTTGAGGAATATTAATCAGTATGTGTAGTTGTGCACCTGGTATTCTCTTGTGGATGTATATAGAATTTGTAGAGTTAATGTCTTGGACTTAGTAAAAATTTTCAATTTTATATTATGTCGCATGTAACTCAAAACGTATTTGACGTAGGGTCATAAAATGTTGATCAGCATGTGAAGTTGTGCACCTGGGGTTTTGCTTGTAAATTTATATGTTATTGCCCTTGACTCGATTTGTGTCGTGCATAGCTCAAAATGTATTTAACCTAGAGTCATGAAACTTGTGTAGCATGTGTAGTTTTGCACCTTTGATTTATCTAGTATTTAGTTATTGCCATTGATGTTCTACTAAGTCAAGCACTCAAGGAACAGAACCAACTTTACAGGAATTATGATCAACATCATTCTAAAGCTATGCACCTGGGATTTTGCATGTGGATCTTTTTCAGTTTTTTTATTGCCCTTGACTAAGTTTAAATGTGCAATTTTCAACTTGTATATGCATTGCGAAAACATTATTTGACCTGTAGGCCTGGAAGTTGACAAGAATGTTGGTCAGCATGTGAACCTGCACCTTAAGTTCGCTTGTGGATGTATTTAGTATTTGTTAAGTTCTTGCCCTTTACTTAGTAAAAAATGTTTAGTTTTCAACTTTTGGCACATGTAGCCCAAAACATATTTGACCTAAAATCATAAGATTGACAAAACAGTGGAGTGTGGGGGCACCCGTGTCCTATGGACACATTTCTTTTTTTCTTATCATCTTAACGTGTCTCTGTAAACCACCACGCAGAATCGGAAAGGATACTTTATACATATAGCCTCTTTGTGACATTTAACAATAAACAATGGATAACAAAGCATTCGTTAGTTATGGAAAAAATGATACAATATTTAAGTACTTTTATACATTTGTGGTCATAAAATATTTTAACTTTATAAGTTCTGTCTTAAATAATCATTGTTAGCATTTTGATATCCGAAATATTCAAGAGTTAGTTCCTTAACAAACACAGCAGCTAGTGAGTCGAATAGTATAAAAAATTAACTATCCTTTTCCATCATATATAAGCACGATAAGCTCATGTTTAGAATATATAATGCAACACTTTATGTTGTTTTTTTCTTTCTTCAGCATGAATTGAAACTTCAACGGATAGCGCAACAGATTAAAGGTTTGTCCTAAACAAATAACAGCTTTTCTTTACATGAAATCTTATTGTGGTTTGTAAATGATAAATTCGATGCTTAAAATTCTGCAAGGTAATTAAAAGTAGATTTGAGTTTAAAACTAAGTAACAACGAGATAACATTGAAGAGCAAGAAGTCTTGTTTCTGTTTGTATAGAATGATATTTTCCTTTATTGTGTAAGAATTCGATTCCTGTTAATGCTGAAATTGAGAAAACAACTTTAATTATGCATGATTAATATAAATTTTTTAAAATACCTTAAATTGATACATGCGTACAAAAGTTTTAAGTACACAACTATAAGATGAAACTGAGGACTTGCTAAGATGCTAAGAAAGTTTATTATGTATGGGCTTATTAATAATTAAAAAAAAAACATTTTCTTACATTTTTTTTCTTTATAATCCTATATATCTGTATAAAAATGCTGGGTAGTACGATTATAAATATGACCTATTTTTGCAGAATTTTGCATTTAACATATCAGGCGATGTGGCTGTTAAAGCCACAAGCAAGCAAGTTTTGGTCAGAAGGTTTACCATGTAATAATTAGGTAAACATTTGTATTCCTTTCCATTCATTTACATGACGATTTTTATTAAAAAGGTCGCGTATATACTTGGTTTAGAAAATAATTTGCATCTATTGCCGTTTATGTATTTGCTTCAATTGTGTTAAATTTATAGATCAAGAAGAAGAGCTCGGCTTAATGCTAAATCTTAGATATTCAGGAAAGCAAAATAATCCTAAAGGTATGTAACGAAGATTGAGTTTTGATACGTCTTATCAATTTATATTCTTGTTTTTTAAATTGAAAGAAGCTTAAAGGAAATCAGATTAAGAACACTAAATTATGCAACTAATTTACTTTTTTGACAATTTTAATGACACTAGTTCTTAATTGAGTCTTACCAGCTATATCTGATTTATTATCCATGAATTGTTCAAAGTCAAATAACATTTCTTTACCCTTTCCTTGTTATTCTTGTATAAAAACTGCGAATGTCGACGTATGTTAAAGGAGAGGAAAACTTGCTTAAGCAGATACAGTCACGCAAGTATACGCGTTGTTTTATTTGCATGACTTACATTGTAAAAATCTTATTACAATGACGACTATTACCATAAAACGAGACCGGTTAAACATTTATCAAAATTAATAAGTGAGGATTTATGTCATAAGACGTATTATTCTTATGCAAGAATAGCGCTGATGTATTTTTGTCGTGCACTTACATCTGCAAATATTTATACAAAAAAGGAAAAATAAATTCCGGTAAAAAGTCAAATATAAAAAAAACTCAGTCCATGAGTTAATGTATTTAATCATTTGCCTATAATAAGTCGCTGTTTTTTTTGCGGGCTCTGACTTTAAATGTACCTTTATGCTTTTGAAGACGTAAATGCGCGTATAAAAGTACATGAGCCCTCAATCTTGTCAAATTTTCTTGTTTTCAGAGACATTTTTGCTTGAACTACAAATAAGCGTTATTGCTAAAAGTGGTGAAAAAAGTCCTGACGGGAATCGACGAGTTTATGAAGTAATGAAAGACTATATCAACAATGATGATAGATCAAGTGATACACCAGTCTATCACCTCCTGAATTACATCAAGGCCATAAAGGAATGCCATATCGTTGGTATTTCTCCCACTTACCAATCGTCAACCGACATACAAATCAAATGTCTCAGTTCTGAGGCCATGGAAAATTTTCTCAAGTCTATCAACTGCAACGCATTTCAACAAGAACTGTTTAAGCTTAGACGATGGCTACATGTTCAATATGACATTGATTCGCATGACATAATAGCTAATTGCTCACAAAATGGCCTAGAGAAAGCAAAACAACGTCTTCGTAAGTTAAATTTAAAGATTGATATTTTATATGTAATTATAGTGGTTTCTACGCTAGCCGATGCATTTACAAGAATCTTGTGTTCATTGAATGTAAATTTATACGTTGATATTATATATATATATTTAAATATATATTAAATATGTTTATGTTGTAAACTCAAAGACATGTACATTTTATGAAAGCGTTTATTTTCTATCTTCAGACTTTACTGACGTAACCAGAATTATGACTTGTACCGAGCATCAAAATACACAATGTACTCTCTATTGTCCTGACCATGACATGTTTTTTTGTACAGCATGCAGGGAATCAAGACATGGGTAATTATACATTCTAAAAGTGGTTGATATGGTACAAAAGGTATCACATTAAACAAACGAATTTTTAAAGCATGCGCCAATGACTGACAACTTATCTGTCAGAAACATTTAACTTAAAGTTTAATGTCACTTAAATACCTTGAACACAAATTCGAAAACGTACAGTTTGGCTAAAAAATAATCATTATGTTGATACCTTTAATAGAAAATATTTTCATCTGTCATAAACGATCCGTGTATCTCTGAAATAGATTTATTATTGAGGCATATCTAATTATCCAGTTGTTGGTTAAATATGACTAATGAAAACAAAAATGTCAGGAATAGTTAAAATTCTTTCATACGACAAAATAACTTAAATTGATCTGACATTTTGATTCCTCATTTAACCATATTGAAATAATTGAAATTCATTTGGTTTATAAAACGATTGAAATATAATATAGTCATTAGCTTAGATAAACATTCGAGTATTGGCATAATTATAAACCTTTTTGTTTTAACAATTGGCCGATGTAGCATTTGGTCTACACTGAGATACAGTGAGCGGCTAAATGGTTTCGAATGACTGGATTTTTTTGATCCAGTACGCGATGTGTTTTTACCCATGGTGTTGCATTTAAGTGTGTAGCATTCGTGGTTAGCCAAAAGTATCTGTTTATGTTTTGGCGCCATATGACCTTAACTGTGTTGCCCAGTACACTGTAAAACCAAACAAATCTAACAAAATATTTTTCAGCATTTTTAATTTTTTTTTTATTAATTAAACAGTTAATTTTATATTAGAATATTACGTTAATTCCTTTACATCTGAAAAAGTGCCAGTTATTTATTAAAGGGATTATCCGCTGATTCGACTTTTGTGTTGTGATATTCTAACACGGTAATTCTTACTTTTTTGATAGTTTGTACGTATTGTTAAGCATATTTTTAATATGATACTTTTCTTATATAAATTAAGGATCATATGATTACATTTCAATTGAAATAACATTTTTTATCTTAATTCGTATTATCAGCTATTATGTGAAAATGATTATCATGAAAATTGCTTCAAATATGTTTTTATCTCCAGAATGTACAATGTACTTCTCATCATGATTTTTACAATATACATTGAGTTTCTTTTTTAACTTTTAATTGTCATTTTAGACTTTGTTTGACATTTAATTTTCTTGAACTGACCATAGTCATTCTATTTTGTAAACATGCAAACTATAATTGCAATTGTTTTCATTATTGAATTTGGATATCTTATCAGTAATCGAAATTGGCCCTTCTATCATAGGGATGATAAATCGTACAAACGTTCTTTGAACATGATGACTATTTCGCACGTCGTTTTTGTACAACGGATTTCTTAGAGGCCGATACATGGTTGCTGCTCGCTTTTGCTATAATAGCCTGATGATGTCCAAAATGACCTGAGCAACGTTGTATAAACGTCTTTAATACCAACGTTTGAATATCGCCGTTTATCTTGGTTGTCGCCATTTCTAAGAAACAGAGAGATGTCAATATAAACAAATACGTTAAGAATAGCTGCCGGTTTCTTCTTCGCCAGTTTTCTTTGCAAATCTAACCCATATTTCTGCGCTCAAAAAATGAATCCATACCAGAACCAATTCGGAATTAAGGGTGTAATAGGTTTTTAGCAACAAAAGTACATACAATTACATACCTTACGAAATTCATATAATATAACAATGCAGTCAGTTTTTGTACATCCATATTCATATATAAATTGAAAGAATGTGTATACATAAACCTGGAAATATATATAATGTAATTAAGGCCGCAAGATTTTTATACAGACATTTTATGTATCCTTCGAACAGAATTGTAATTACCGTTTTCTTTATTAGACTAATAAACTTGGGTATATATGTTGTTAATGTTTGTTCATCTCGGGTAAATGTATACAAATGTACCTTCAAGAATGGTTTGCACTCTTAATGTTTTAAATCAAATAAACTTTGTTTTTTATTCATTTATGATATGGAACAGATTGCACTTATTCCCTGCAGTAATGACGGATACATTATAATTATGAACGGATTTACGCTTGATCTAGCGAAGCGGGAGAAATCATTGAAAACGGCGAGAATGAGCAACCTATTATAATTATTAGATATAAATTACTAATTAAGGAAATAACAATGATATTCGTATATAAATTAAAGATTACTTGAGTTGTAATGTCTCAATCAAGGCATATTAAATATACTGGCGGATATTCCCTTCTATAGTTATTGTCTTTGTACAAATCTTAAACATGCATATATTATTAATACGTTGTTATTAAATGTCTATAGTTAAAGTCTTTTCATTGAAACTAGTGTTAAAGACCAGAGACCTTTCTGCACTATGCTAGATGATTGTATAGCTTGCGTTTATCGATATTTTTGTTTGTGATATTTTTTTGTATTCATACTAATAAATGAAAATTGTGTCAAAAAATAATTGTTTTTTTTCTATTCATACAGCACATGTCTTGGAATAAAACAAGTTATATCTGAAAGGTCTTACGTTGAACAGAAACGTCGTCTCAACATCAAAAGTATAAAAGGAACTTATAACGTTAGGATAGATAATGCTTTGATAAATAGAGACAAAAATGATCAAGATGAGTGTGGTATCACTAGTATGTGCATGCTTCCTAATAGTGAACTTCTCCTTGCTGACTTCGGGAATAACAAACTGAAGAAATTGAATAGTTCGTACAAGGTAATAAGCTACTGTGGTGTTCCTGAGGACCGGTATCTCTATTCTGTATGTTATATAGGCAACGATATTGTTGTTGCTGTTTTAAGAGGAAATTCCATACAGTACGTTAATGTGTCAAGTAATGTAAGCCTTAGACAATTAGTGAAGCTAGATCATGATTGTCTCGGTCTAGCTTGTCATGGTGACACACTCTATATTAACAGCGGAGACAAAATTTACAAGTATGACGAAAACTGTACACAACAACAAGTTCTCTATCCTTATCCGCACAAAGTCTCCAGTCCCTTCATTGTTGTAAGTGACAATGGTTATCGACTATACTTCAGTGCAGATAAAGGTCTAACTACAATAGATTGTAAGGGAAATCTTTTATTCAGCGAACAAGTGGACGGTTATAAAATATTTGATAGTTGTATTGCTGATGAAGGTATTGTTCTTGTATTAGATGCAGCAAACAATGTGCATCAGCTGGATTATAATGGTAAAAAGCATTGGACTGTAGATAACATGCCATTAGAAATGTTAGTTCCGTTTTCTATGTGTTTCGACAGAGAAAGATGTAGACTTATTGTTGGTGGTTTTGAAGGCATGATATATGTTTACAAATGCGAATATTTGCCAAGTTAGTTAATAAAATTGTTTTGGTGAACCTAGAACCAAATGAAAAATGCTTTGCTAAACTACTTTTGTTTATCAAATTAGTAAGTTTGTAAGTTGGCTTTTTTCTTCCTCGAGTCATCGCTTAATATAATGACGTCGCACTCATTTATCTTGAATGTATTTGTAATTACATGTATATATTACAAACTTTTTCATAATAAGGGTTGAATAGTTACAAGTTTGAATCCTTATCGAGATAATTAAACAACATGTGAATCTTGTTAAAGGACTAACGAATGAATTGATATTGAGATTGATTTATCCCACATATTGTCATTTCTACTAAGGCTTAAAACAAAAATTTAATTTACTTCCCCTTCCCTACCTACCCAACAAACCTTCCACTACCAGTAAAAATATTTTTTCAGGATCTAAGGGGATGAAAGTATTTTTTTCCTTCAGAATACAATAGATACAATCTAATCTGATATTTTAGACTGTGACACTAGCAAAGTTTAATAAATTTTTGCATATGTCAGTTGTGAATATGGTAATGCATGTATATAATGTATAATATTACATTTATAAATTAATTGTAATAGTTCATTATACATAATTATATGCATTTATTTATTATTATGCACATATAAAAAATGTCCTACCTACCTACCTACCCAACCCTGATTGTAATGGGTCGGGAAGGGGAAACAAACATAATTTTATTTTTGGCCTAACAGTCCCGCACGCCTACATTATCTTACTATCTTAGAAAAAGATTTAAGGAAAAATATAAATAATTAGTTTTAGTTCATATGAAAAAAGTCATACCAATTTATCAACGAAAAAAAGACACAAAATAGGCATTCATAAATAAAGCAAACTTATAACATTTGACCTTGAAGATCAATGTCATTTTTATAAGAGAAGGTCAAGTTCAGTATGGTCAACTTGACCGTCTTGCCAAAGTGCTGTTGTGTCCAACTTGAAGTATGAAAGTTATCAATTAGATAATTGCAAAAAGATATTGATGTGCGCCGGTAAATCTGTCACCTAGTCCTTCATCGAAAGACATCGCATTTTCTTTTTTTTACAGTTTGGCGTTTATCGGAAAATGCGAAGTCTTTCCATAACTGGCTAATTTCCCGTAGCACAAATCGTCACGCTTCTCGAGTCGATTTGAATTTACCGGTAAATCACAACTTAAATGCTAATTATCTCAAAAAGCAATTGATTGCATAAAAAACGGAAGCATATTTTCCCAAAAACTGTAAAAATATGCAAAAATTACTCACGACAAGTAGTTTATTTATCCACATATTTAAGAAGACACCTGAAAGACATTTTGTGTTGACCCCCATATTAGAAATTCCCTGTCATGCTGTGACATCACTCAAAAAAAAACAATAGTACGAAATAAGTCTGAACGAAAACATTTTCTGTTGTGATTAAATACGCTGACAGGTGCTCGCAGTAAAATTTCGTCTAAAACATTTGGTTCCAGGAATCATCGCATTGCGCAGTAAACACCAATATGGAGACTGTTTACATGATTTTTACACGGGATTTGTTTAAAATTGTTTAAAATTTGAATAAGTTGTTTTTGAGAAGGAAAATACGCATTTATGACAGGATTATGAATACCAAGCATTATTTGCAACATTTTAAATAGGTAGTTTGAATGAGTGTGCATGTTTATTTTTTCATTTTGCTATGGACTTTTAAATAGATATCTTTAGACTTATAAGCGGATTAGACTCATGTAAAAAATAGCTTCAAATCCGCGTTACGCTTAAAAACTTGGACTTATCTGTCACCCTTCTTTCGTTTTCGAAATTAGTGTCCTTATACCATTAAATTTTAATCTACGTTTGCATATTTAGCTTTCAACTTATCTTACATCATAATATGACTTACCTCTTACATCAATTCACCTTAAATGTGTTAATATTGCTTATATTCTAAGATAAAAGTAATCACATCTATTTTCATTTAAGTCCGCCATTGTGTATGCTTCTTTGAGCTACGTCATAAATGCACTAAAGTGACGTCATAGTGGAATCTTAGCTCTGCTTGATTTTCTTTTGGGGTTTTCGACGGGAAGTGTTTAAATCAATGTTTTTTGTCTTCAATTAATATGAAATTAGATGCTACCTATGGCGCGGAAAGCTATTGTGTATATTGATTTTGCGTGTACATGTAAACCAGATCTTTCTTGCAGGTATTTTGTACCATAAAAAAAACGAATAAATTGCTGGTGTTCAACCAATCACCAGAACGTAAAGGGGGACCACTGCGCATGCGTCGGCGTTTGGAAAATCCCGTCCGCCATTTTTGTTAATCTCTAATCACAGTTGTTGTTTTAACGTTATTTTTAATGAGCTTATTTATCAAAAAGGATATGTTAAAGTAATTCTTTATATTTATAATCGTTACTATAATTCTTACCAATGAAATGGAGGTTTATTTTCTGATTCTGTACATCATTCTTTCACCGGAAGTGTTACTTAGCATGCGTCTGCTAGCAATAGTCTGAATTATGTAGACGCTCATTAAAATCGCTCCGATATCTATATTTAGCTCAATAGGATTTCAAAATGGCGGCGCCCTGTTAACTAAGGATTTTTTCACAGCTCATTAAGTACAGGATATTTATTTTTTTGAAATTTTTATTTAGTTTTAATTTGATTTCATTTGAATTCATACGCGTCTTACATGTTATCTAAGAGCGCTACAACCCTCGCGGGGCCTTCGGCCACGCTCGGACTTTCCGCGTATAAATAGGCGCAACATCTACTACTCACTCCTTGAATTTTGAATCTTGTAATATTTACATATGGTAAAAGTACGCATTAATTTAATTTTATTCATTGATATGTTGTTTTGTTTATTAACTGTTTGTGGTGTCGGTACTGTTGAAACCCATTATGGGTCCCCTTTTATTATTGTTTGAATTGCTGACAAAGATTGATGTTTATGTTTGAATCGCGTGTATAAAAGGCGCTGTATAACTGTTTAAAATCACTCCGAAGCTTCAAAAACTTATTTAAAAGAAGTACATTTCTGCTTTTAACTCTGATCTAATTCCAGAAAAGGTATTTTAACTTAACGATTTAATAGATTTATTTTTACATTGAATACTTGATAAATTTTAAGTAAGAGAGTCTTTTAGAAACACTTTATTACTTCGGAGCTTACGCAAGTTTCAGTAGCAAACGCTCAGAATTTATTAAGTAAATTGTTTGTAGAAACGTTTATGATTTACTTTGGTTAATATAATAACTTAAGAAATTTAATTAGATTGCTTTTAAAATAATTCACAAGCAGATTGTTGTAAATATCTAATTCTCCTTTAAACGTTGCTTAGACAACGACACCTCATATTTGGTCCGCAATTTTTATTATGAATTCTTTTAATCTTACACAAAAAGAGAATGCTGATAAGAATGCCTGTTTTATTATAACAACATTTATATGCTGATGAATAAATGTGCATAATTGAATACCTGGAATAAAATTTGTTAAACTGTTATTCTTAGTTTATCGTCGATCAAATTTTTTTTTTTTTTTTTTTTTTTATTAAATTTTCTTTATTATCCAGTTCGTACAAACAATACATTTCATACATTATACAAATTTACAAACATATTACAAATTGTTTAATTGCAAGAATAAACAATG